TTTTGTTATGCTACTTAGTACAATGTGTTCTCAAATAGTGGCTCTACAACATTGTAGCATACCAGAATTTTAACAAACCACCATTTCTCCGATATGCATTTGACAACATTATTTGGAATTTGAATTGATAGTGGTGTTTTTAGGCAGTACTTAATTTCTCACAAATGAGCGTGTTGAGCTAATTTTCTCGGCTTTTATAGGTTTGTTCATTTTGTGAGCACACCTGAAATACTGTAACATGTATATATTATAGAATCCGAAATTTGAACATGTATATATTATAAAATCCGAAATCTTACAAATTGAAGAGGCAATTGCAATTCAAGGAAATAATTCCTTTGGGATTAGCATTATACTGTCTTGGTAGAAAATTATGAAGCCAATGAAAAGTTGCCCAGACTTCATAATTTTTCTGGCTCCGCCACTGAGTATATGGAAATACCACGTATAACCCTGTGATTAAATGCCTAAACTTTTCTGATTCTAGGGTTAGAAATAAAAAATTTGAAATTTGATACAACCACATTCTCTTAGCAATTAATGAGGCTGACGTGTCACTCCCATAATTTTCCTTACTCATTTTTAATTTATTTTATTTTATAGTTATACATTAAAGTTGATTCACGTTCTCCATCAAAAAATGAATAGCTATTTTTCAACTTTAAATAAAAAATTGAATTAACATTCTGGTTAATTAATGCATAGAGCAATCAAAAGTCACATAGAAACTAATAACAAAAATTCAACTGACTTATTTCGCTTGACACAGCCTATTTATGTTTCGCTTGGAACATAAATTCAACAAACTTTCTCCATCGGCGTTTCAGTTTTTTTTGTTTCTGGTCCGCCACCACAATAGCTTCATCCCACTAGATCCACCACAAACCACCACACGTAAACACGAAATTGCATCGATTCAACCGCCAACTTTGAAAGCGTAGCCGTTGTACACCACCCTCTAAATCTGCTCTGGTGAGACTTCCTTCAGAACTCCGATTTCATCACCGAAATTTTTTGCATTTGTTTCCATTACAACCACCACCGCGGTCGTTTCTGATCACCCATCAACATTCGTTTCTGATCACCCATCAACATTTTCGTTATATATTTTTTTTTGAAATTTGTAAAATTGATTTTTTTGTTTTTTATTTATTAAGACTGCTTTATTGTTTGTTTTGATAGTGTTCGGTAATTCACTGTGTGGTTGTTAGGTTAGAGTTTGATTTTCTCAGTGGAAGGGTGTTTGATTTGCTTGAATGAATTTGTAAAATTGATATTTTTGTTGGATTCTGATTACATAAGTACTTATTTCATGGATTTGTTATTGGATTATTCTATTGATGAAAATTTTGGTGTGATATATGTTAATATGATTTGATTTTGTTGTCTACATCTTATTAGTATTGAGAAGGAGTTTTTGGAAAATCTGCTTTGGACGAACTTGAATCTGGAAAATTTGTCGCCGCTAACACGAAAGGGTTTTGTAACTACTTCATGGAAAGAGTTTTGTGAACTGAATTTCTTTGCATTTGTTTTGATGCTCAACTAAATTTCTCAATCAGTTTTGAATTCAAATGATATGGTTTTGTTAACGACTTCATCTTTTTTATAGCATAATGGTTTGAACCATATGGGTGTGTCTGGCTGTTTTGTATCAGTGTCGCTTCAGGTGCAATTGTCATTACAATGTTGATTGAATAAAGGATACTATTGAAGCTTTGTATAAGAAGTTGAAAGAAGTTGCCACTGTACCTAATTTGTCACTGTTTCCAATTATCGATTTATGGCTACTCTTATCCCTTCTATTTAGGCTTTCTTCTGCTTTTAAATTTCATGTTTGCATGTGTTTCTAAATTTTTAGTTTTATACGTTTAATTATGTGATTAGGTTTTTCCATGATCCCAGATCCCATCAACCCAGATTTCGGCTAACAAATCTCAAATTTCGATGAACAATTGCGTCTAAGGAAAGCTCGAATACGATTCCGACGAATCCTTCACCTCTCTGATTTCGATGATTTTGAGGATTTCGAGAGATGATGGGACAAATTGGCATTGAAAGTGATTCATGTTGTGTTATCCTTATTTAAGTGTTTCTTGATCATGTTGGTATTTTGTACAAAGTGCATATATATTCTAGTAACTTTTTCCCTCTCCTATATGCTATTTTATTTTTCAATATTTAGGGATGTATATATCAGGTAATTTCCTGAAGTTGAGTTTATACTTCTCTTATGTTTGTAGCTTTGAAGTGTAAAATAAAATTATTTTAGATAAGTTACTGGAATGGATACCCATAAGTTTGTGACATTGATGTGTACTCCTATGATTCTATTTATATGGCCTTGCTTTATATGATTTAGAAGCCATCATTATGTGATAATTGTTTTTAATTCTCGTGTCTGAAATACTGATGTTTCAAGTGTGAAGTGAAAAACCGATTCAACCGATTCATGCTCCATGCTTGAGCCTGTTCTTTGTCAAGAAAAGTGATTTCTCTTTATATTTGGATTGAAAATTAGATAACTTTGTTCCTTTTATGTGATGTTTTACCTATTTTTCTTAATGACAGCAGTATCTTTGGGGGAGTCCATATATGCTCCTTTTTTATTTTAATTGTTAATGACAACAATATCTTAGGTTTTGTTGAAGCCAATATTAGACTTCAATTTTTGCATGGAGAATTGCATGTGAACTATTTCACTTGGTTGGTGATGAAGTGAACTATAAAAGAAGTTTTAAAAAATTCTATTGTTGCATACTAATTAGTGAATTATACAAGTAGTTTAAAAAAATTCTATTGTTGCGATTATTTTGAAATGTAATTTTGTGGCTGCTGAATTGAGTTTTGTGTTGCAAGTCTTTTGTTTTTGTAGTGTTGCAAGTTATAATTTATTGTTGTCAAAATAGGTTCTTCAATTTGGTTAGAAAATTATCCTATTTAAACATGTTAGAATTAAGTTAGAAACTTATCTAATCAATTAGTTTAGGAAGGTTTGCATTTGTTTTAGAACAATTTTAAATTATTTTTGATTTTGTTTCAATCTTAAGAATTATGATTAGTTCAATTTAAATGACATTAGAAAATCTTATGTAATTAATTTTGTGATAAAAATTTGATTTTGTTTTCAATTCTGTGTTTGAATACTTCTTTTTATTTATAATGACAGATAAAAAAAAGTAAGTAACACACTGTGACAGTATTATTTACGGTAGTATATAAATTATTTTTCTTAATTTTATTTTTAAAATTTTTAATTATTGTAGATTCCCTATAGATGAGAAGGGGACTATACAGTTTGTTGTTGAGTATTTCTTAGAGACATATGTATTTAGTAAAACTTTTTTTCTAATAAATCTTTATTGCATACAACTTGCATACAATTGGATATGTATTTTTAGTGATATAAAAATATACTTTATAAATTATTTTATACATAAATTATTTTTAAATAATATTATATTTTTTACTGAAAATTAAATTCAAAATATAAATTAATTTTATACATTTCTCTAATCATATATTTTTAGTTAAGATAATTTAAAAAATAATGACGTTACATTCAAAAATAATAAAATATAATTAAACATAATAAAAAGTGGTACCAAAATATATTTAATAAAATTTTGTTGTCAAAATATTTGATTTATCTAGAATATAAAAAATTATATTATAATTTTAATCTCTAATTTTATTTGATTCATGAAAATAGTCTTTTTTATTTTAAATTTAAAAAGTTTTGATCCGCTCTCACGTTTTTAATAAAAAATTAATGATATTTTTTGATTTTTTAACTTATATTTTTATTTATAAAATTTCATAATAAATTTATATTGATTTTTTATTTATTTTGAAGATTAGGTTATATGTTTGGTTTTAATCTTCATGTTGAATTTGCATGAACATATTTACCTAATTTATTAATTTTTGACGGGGTACTGTTATACATTTTAAATTTTTAAAATTTGTAAATATGATATAATCAGAAGGTTTTAAAATTGAAATTTAACGAGGAATTGTCATACATTATAGGTTGTAAAAAAATTAAATATAATAAAATAAGAAAATTTTAAAATTGAAATTTGACGAGGAGCTGTCATATATTTTAGGTTTGAAAAAATGAGCTAATATCTAAAATATGTTTAATAAATTTTTAGAATTAACTCATTTGAATTCAATTGAAATTTGTTAAGTCATATGAATTCACGGCCAGATATGAACGTATCTACGAGATAACAGTCAATGACTGATCATTTTAATGACTATCTTTTAACTATTTCTACGGTTAATGACTGATCATTTTAATGACTATCTTTTAACTATTTCTCTATTGCTGTTTTATATAATTGAAGTTATAAAAATAATTGTACGATTTATTATAAATACAAATCAATATTCAAAAATGGATATATATTATTAGAATATAATTGAAACTACATAAATATTTATGAATTGCAAAATAAATTATATTATGTTTGATATTTTAAATATATGAATTAAAATTTAATAAATAATTATAAATTATAATTATATTAATATTATCCAAACATGTTATCATATTTAATAATTTAATCATTAATATATGCATTGTGAATTCAAAAAGAATCGTACAATTACTATTTAAAAAAAAAACTAAAATTAGTAAAATTAAAATTGGTGTAAGAAAATCTTATGAAACAGAGTTTTTTTTAGTTGGTGTCAATGGAAAAGCTAAAAAAAACTGAAGCACTTGAACTGCACTAACGTGCAAGAAGCTTAGTGACGGTGTAGCCTAACGTAAAGAATGCCTCCCTATTTATTTCCAACCATGTTTCTTTCTTTGGTTACTTACTTTTCAATCCGTTTTTCACATATTCGGACAAACAAGACCAAAACTTATCCTGGACTCTAATACCCTTACCACTTTCAAACTAAATTATAATCTTAAAAAAAATACACTAATAATTTTTAGCAACACTTATTCATTGTTTTGTGTTGACCTTAACCTTAATAGTTAATATATGTCTCCGTATTTCACGGGTATTTTCCAAAACACGCTTTTCAGTTTTCACATAGCAAACACCAATTCCATTCAACTCCTCTTTCTTCTTCCTTTCATTCTAGGAACTTTCAGTTAAGCCCACTGATCCAGTCTTTGATACATGAATACTTTTCTCTTTACATATATGCAGTTTTGTAATTTGTAGAATTCAAAATATATTTATCCTTTTAATTGATTATGGTTGTTGGAATTTAGAATTGTTGACAGGAGAAATTGGGTTGTTGCTGAGGCTGCTTTTGATCTCTGTAGCATCGTGTCGGTATTGTGTTTCTGGTATCCTGCTTCATAGCTTTTGATACAGAAGCTGTTTGATGATACAGTTATTTGATACAAGTAGGTGAGATGAATTCAATTTCACAAGTTTTCATTATCCTATAGCTTTTCAATATAGACGCAGAGTTGATTTTTAATGACTATATCATGTTTTCCTTATGAAAATGCAGTTTGGTTTGGTATTATGAAGTGTTTTTCATTCCAATCTGGTAATAAGAAAGATGAACCGAAAGGCTTGCAATCCGCGTCGGGCCGGTCGGACAGTTCTGCGTATGTTGATGTTGAAGGAAGAAGATGTGGTTCTGAGTTGAATTCTCAGGATGTTTCGGATAGTGGCAGCGTGGAATCCCTCAGGAGGAACGCGCCTCCTAATTTGTCCCAAAGGCCGAGTAACCTTAGAGTGTTTACTGTATCTGAACTGAAATCGGCCACAAAGAGTTTCAGTCGATCGGTTATGCTTGGAGAGGGCGGGTTCGGTTGTGTCTATCAGGGCGTAATTAGAAGTGTAGATGACCCTTCCAGAAGAATTGAGGTTGCTGTTAAACAACTTAGTAAAAGAGGAGTGCAGGTAAGGTCTTTGCTTATGTTGTTCTATTGTCACGATTGGCCGAATTCCGTGATCAATCGTGGTGTTCATGTGTGTTTGTTTATCTTATTGCTTTAGAACTGGAGTTGGTTTTCAGGGGCATAGGGAATGGGTGACAGAAGTGAATGTTTTAGGCATTGTTGAGCATCCAAATCTTGTGAAACTTGTGGGATACTGTGCCGATGATGACGAAAGAGGAATCCAACGGCTTCTGATATATGAATACATGCCGAACAAAAGCGTGGAACACCATTTATCTCATCGCGCGGAGACTCCTCTCCCATGGAGCAGAAGATTAAAAATAGCACAAGACGCTGCTCGTGGATTAACATACCTGCATGAAGAAATGGATTTTCAGGTATACAGGTCTATAGTAACATTTCTGAAAAGTAGGATACCCGATGAGCCAAATTTGATGAATGTCATGCTAACTGTGTACACATTGTTTAGATAATTTTCAGAGATTTCAAATCTTCGAATATCCTTTTGGATGATCAGTGGAATGCCAAGCTATCCGACTTTGGGTTAGCGAGACTGGGACCATCGGATGGACTAACTCATGTCTCAACAGCGGTATTGATTTTTTTATTAACCTATAATTTTGTTATTGAGATATTGTTAACATATGCAGAGAGTTTGTTAGAGATTGTGTTGCTAGCATTCTTTGATGTGGAATCTAGTGACTTGGATATACGACTTATGTTGAAATTGATGTTTATGTTTGTCAGGTTGTAGGAACAATGGGGTACGCAGCTCCTGAATATCTCCAAACCGGACGTCTCACATCGAAGAATGACGTATGGAGCTACGGTGTTTTCCTTTACGAGATCATTACTGGCAGACGCCCTTTAGATAGAAATCGCCCCAAGGGTGAACAAAAGCTGTTGGAATGGATAAAGCCATACCTATCAGATACAAAGAAATTTCAACTGATATTGGATCCAAGACTTGATAAGAAACAAGTACTCAAATCAGCCCAAAGACTTGCTACGATAGCTAACCGGTGCTTAGTTAAGAACCCAAAGAATCGCCCGAAGATGAGCGAGGTTTTGGGAATGGTGAATGGAATAGTAGACTCATCTTCCGACGCTAATTCACAACTACCCTTGAAGAATGTTTCGAGAGTAGAAGTTTCTCCAGACAATGAAATAAACAGCGCGAAGAAACGGAGCATGGTTCAGAAGTCTAGAGAAAGTAATTGGTTTTTTAAGATGTGGAGACCAAAGCTTTTAAGAACATGAAATATACAAAAATGAATATTAAGCCTGAAGTGAAATGATTGTTAGTTTAGATATAGTTTTAAATTGATAATATTTATTTATATCTTGTAATTTTACCAGTTACATATAAAAGACCTTAGAAATTTTGTAGAGTTTTTTTAGTACCAAATACACAAAATGCATGAATAATTATTGCATAGAAATTCAAGTTTAAATCCCAGGGAAACAAATCTTGTCAAGAATTTGCATGATCCTTGTGCTGTTGTATTTTAATTTTGACCTTTGTCATTTGTTTGTATACCGTGGTATATACTATTTCTTTTTCACAACAGTCTTCAAGTTTTATATTTGTTTCTTCCCAAATTCAAGTGGCTGAGTAATAAACCTATGCTTTGAGAAAATACCACTTGGATTCAGCTTGACTTTGAGGATTCACTTAACAGCAATTGTCTTTTTTGTTACCTAGTAGTTCAACCAACTACAATGTCTTGTTCTTTTCAATGACTCTTAATTCTTCACACATGGCTTTCTTCCACAATTCATTTTTCATGGCTTCCTTATTTTTCAGTGGTTCAACATCAGCTAGTAATCCAAAGTGAATATGATCACCTTGGACATTGAGTGTACTATTTGAAAGTAATTCATAGTCAACAAGTCTATAAACAATTATCTTGATCTTTGAGTTCTGAATAGTTTTATCCATATCAATATTTGTTGTTAGGTTTAATGTTTGGATTTCTAACTGATATTAGCTAATTATAATATTTTTAATGGATATTCATTAGGATAATAAAGTGCATAAATGTATATATTATTGTAGCGGATTTATTAGGTTAGAATTAATACTATTAATTAATATATTAAACTGCATAAATGTTTATATGAAAGTTGCAAATTTATGAGGCTTGTTATTGCTCTGTTTGGTATGATTGACATTATGTGTGGTAAAATTAACTTGGCTTAGACATGTTGAATGAAGATGTTCTATCAACTAGAGTAACATGTCGAATGCGTGTCCTATGCTAGTTCTTTCGACATCGTGATTTTGTTCAGTTGGACTGTTGGATTTTTTAGTTTGTTACAGATGCAGAATATTCTATAATATATTATCTATCATATGTGGCACACGACTTGAGGATTTAAAAAGATTCAACCTGATTTCAAGGAGAATTGTTAGTTTCTAATTATGGAGATATTTGAGGAAACTAACGATTGATGTCCTATCTTTGAAGAGATAATTCTGCAGCGCCTCTGTCATATCCAGCTGCATATGTGAAGCTCAAATCCAGTTTATTGAAGATTTTAAATAGAATGCTTCAACCCTAGTGCAAGTGTCAAACTTACATTGTATTTTGTTAGGGTTTGTATGTTTTATTGTGAGCCTCTTGGTTATCATATTGATGAACGAGTAGGACTTTGTTTTTGAGTTGTAAGTTCTGTCAGTCATTCCAAAGCTTTTAAGCAGTGAATGATTATGTGTCTTTGAAGTGTGACTTCTGTGTTGTTTTTCTAAGTGTTTAAAATTGACCAATCACTGTGTTGTGATTGAAAGGGATTTGAGAAGTGTCTCATACCTAGGTGAGTCTTAGGTAGAAGTTAAGTAAGGGAAGTGATTAAGTGAGAAGTTGTAAACGTGAGAGTTTAACTTTGAATTGATACTATTTTAGTTAACTTGATCCCTGACTTGGTAGTCCTCAGAGTAGGTGTTGGTATACACCGAACTAGGTAAACAATCATGCACGTTCTTTACTTTTCTACACTTTGTTTATCATATATCTTATCATTGTGTGTTTGTTCTCGACATCTTTTAGGACATCTGAGATATGAATACCATAATTTCAATTGGTATCAGAGCAGACATCCTGCTCTGACTCTGGGTGAGGTTCTGGGAAGATACTTTCTGGTACAATGGACAAGGAAAGAGGATTTATGAACAGACCACCCATTCTTGATGAAACCAACTATGACTATTGGAAAGTTTGTATGGTGGCCTTGATCAAATTTGTGGACAGCAAGGCTTGGAAAGCTGTGGTCAAAGGATGGGATCCACCAAAGACTGTAGGTTCTGATGAGAAAGCTACTAATATGTTGAAGGATGAAGAAGACTGGGATGATAAAGATGAAAAAGTATCAGAGGGAAACTCCAAAGCATTGAATTCCCTATTCAATAGAGTGGACAAGAGTATCTTCAGGCTAATAAGCAATTGTACTATTACTAAAGAAGCTTGAGAGATCCTAAAGAATACTCATGAAGGTACCTCCAAGATAAATATGTCAAGACTCCAACTTCTTACCACTCAGTTTGAGAATTTAAGAATGAAAAAGGATGAGAGTATTCATGATTTTCACATGAATATCATTGAGATAACCAATACTCCAGGTGCTATAGAGGAGAAAATGTCAGAAGTCAAGCTGATAAGAAAGATTCTGAGATCTCTTCCAAAGATGGTTGACATGAAGATGACTGCTATTGAAGAAGCTCAAAACATAAACAACATGAAAGTTGATGAGCTCATGGGATCCCTTCAAACCTTTGAGTTATGGATCAATGAAAAAGCTGAAAAGAAGAAGATCATAGCCTTTGTCTTCAATTTTCATGATCCAGAAGATGAGTGTGACTTGGATATTGAAGAAGGGATGTCCAGTGCTATTGTGTTATTTGGAAATTAATTCAACAAATTCTTGAAGAAAGTTGACTGGAAATCAAGATCAAATTTCAAGAACAAGCCTTTTGACAAGTCATTCAACATCAACAAGAATAAGGATTCTGGTGGAAGAGATGGAACTAGTGACAAATCCATCCAAGGAAGAGGAGTTTAATATTTTGAATGTGAAGGGTTTGGTCACTTAAGATCTGAGTGTCCCAACTATCTCAAGAAGCAGAAGAAAGGTATGTCAGTGTCTTGGTCAGAAAAAGATTATGAAAACGATAGTGTATAGGAATCAACCAAACAAGTGATTGCCCTGTCTAGATTTTGTGATTCGGATGATGAAACAATTATTGGAGACTTGACTTTGGAAGATCTTACTACTTTTATAGAGAGTTGTGCCTCGAAAATCAAGAAAGGAGTTAATTGATAAAAAGAAAAAAGACCATTATTGCTCAACTACAGGATGAAAAAGAAGAACAATTATCTATTATCTCTGGTCTGAAAACTAAAAAAGTAGAGCACCTATCTGCCATAGGTGAATTGAAGGATGAAGTTATTTTGCTCAAGTCAAAACTTGATAATATGACTAAGTCTATGAGAATGCTCAACAACAGTTCTGACATACTTGATAATATTGTTAAGTTTGGAAAGAATGCTGGAAATGTTCGAGGGATTGGATATGTCAACCAATAATGAACAAAAGCAAAAGGGGTAAAGTGAAGTTTGTTAGTCCAAAGAAAGATCTAGAACAAAATAATCAAATACAATGTTCCAACATCAGCATGGACGACAGAAGAATCACTCAGGAAATAATGGCTATATCGCTCTAGATGAAACGTTTATCCTAATTGGGAAGAGTTCTGTCAAGATTAAGGATCTTGGTTATGTTAATCAAGGAGAAAGGTCTGATGTGAAGAGTGTACCTCCAAAGAAGAAACAAAAGCAGGAGATGTTGAACCTCATGTCTCAACATCAGCAGAGACATCAGAAGAAATACAATGGAGGCATAAATCATCAATGGAGATGTGATTATTATGGAAGGTTTGGGCACTTAAATTCTTATGCTACAAATTGTATGTTTATCCCAATTCTGTTACACATCATAGTAGAACCCTGGATATTGTTAAATCCAAGTCTAAAAGGATTCCCAAGAGCGACACTCTTGGACTCGTAGTTCACACTATGCTCAGAGCTTCTACAAAAAAGGATTAGTTTTTTGATAGTGGTTGTTCTAGATACATGACTAATGTCAAGAAATTTCTTGCAGACATTAAACCACTTTCCTCTAGTTATATCACCTTTGGATATGGGACAAAAGGTGAAATAAAAGGTGCTGGAAAGATGAGCTGCTCTGACTTGCCAGATCTCAACAAAGTTTTTTTTGTTAAGGGGATAAATAATAACTTGATAAGCATTTGTCAACTGTACGAACAAGGTCTCAAAGTTAACTTTATTGCGTCTGAATGTCTGGTAACTAATGAGAATAATGAATTCATCATGAAGGGAGTCAAAGTAAAAGACAATTTTTACTTATGGATTCCTCAAGAAACAAATTGCTCCTCCACATATTTTATGCCAAAAGAGGTTGAGATGAAGTTACTTCAGGAGAAATTTGACTGGTTACTCCTAAAAGGAACGAAGAAAGTCCAACCAAAGGAAGCAAACATAGGTACTCCAAAGTTGAACATGGAGAAAAGAAAAATATGCGGAGAATATGAAGTAAGGAAGCAAACCAAGATGTCACTCACAAAGTTACATCATCAATTTACTTCCAAGAGGTCAGAAATTCTTCATATGGAGCTAATGGAATCTAAACAGGTTAACAGTACTGGTAGAGAGAAATATGTTAGTTTAATTGCTGATGAAATTTCAAAACTGTCCTGGATGAACACTATCAAAGAAAAACATAAAGATGTTGAGGAATTATAGCAATTATTGATGGGGAAGAATGCTATAGATTCTCCATCCTTCCTCCATGTTGATGTGATTACAACGATCAAAGAGTGGGACAAAGACTCTTTGCAAAGGATTGACTTGAAGAAGAATTTAATATCAAGTAAGGTCAGTAGTGACACTCCTAAAACTGGTGATAGATTCTAGGAGTGCAGAAGGATTTTTGATAGAGGCAAGATGTGGATGATCACCTGAAGATGACCAAGATTGTCTTGTTCCCTTAGCTATAGTATGCCCTTACTACTATTGTTAAAGGTGGTGCATGTGAATGATGTCCTATTAAGTGTTACGACATTCGTCCTGATGTGTGATCATGAAAGGTTCCTATTGGTGCTTTGCTTTTGGATTCTCTCTTTAGGGGGATAAATAATCATCTAAAAGAATAATGGAGAATGGTAGATCACTAGTGTGAATAAG